TGGCAATCCATTTCAAATTACGGAGTTCGCTTTTTTGCGTGCGTGCCACTCACTGAAGATGTATACATTGCCAAGACCAAATGGAGATACAAAAGTCGAATAACCAACAACCTCTCATCCCTCTCAAGCATGGAAATATTCTGGCTGGCTTTTGGAACAGCCTGGCGCGCCGATATGTCCGAGCGATGCACGCAAAAAGGAGGCACCGGGAATCCAATCTCCCCGCTCGCGCTAACAGTGGTTGAGATATAAGCGCTGAGCATCGCTAAATGGGTCAATACGTCTTTGTACGGGACAATGAAGTGGCGACCCCCTCCCTACCCCCACATCACCAACTATCAAAATAAAAGTCTTACCCACGAATGCTCGCGCGACTAAAAAAAAAGCGGTGCTCACTCTTCAGCAAAAAAAAATGACAAACGCTAAATTGGAAATTGTGTCCGGTCGCAAGTGGATATAATTATCCCCTGCGTTGGGGGCATAATCATTACACACTCACACGGACACAGAGGGGCTATATTCATTGGACAATTTCCAGATGTGAATGGATTTATTAAAGCGGTTCTTGATATATTATTTTCCCATTTTTGTGTGTGTTGGTGTTTGTGCAAATTTGAAAAGAATATCAAAATTTTACGCAAATACCACCAGTGGGCCGGTTTGCTATAGGATTGTTTTTGAATGGCGAAAATTTATAAAACATTAAAGCTGACGAATGTTTTGTTTCTTTCCTAAGTCCACAATTAAGCGGCGGAAATGCCGCTAAATTATGGCTCCCACCGGGAAAGTTTCAAATGAAAAATTAAATTCTCACCGGACCCATCGAGCCATTAAACGCAAAGCGTTGGCACGGTGAGCCCCTGGAATTATGTGGGATTTCATTTCAGAATCCCGAATGCTTTACGCTTTGAAAAGGAATGATTAAGGTAGTGGCCCATTCTTACCGATTTCAAACCCTTTGGTTTTAATTACAGCCTGCAAGGGTATTTTTTTTCTACTGTTCACTTTGTTTTAGATTTATTCTCAACACACACTGCCCGCGCATTTGCGCAGGGTATACGAGCGGGGTGGAGGATGGGAGGGGGGGTGATGACGTCAGGGTCACGCACTCTATCCGGGCTCAACGCTGTGAGATTCGGGTGACGACGTCATCACGTAAATTTGCGCGGTGACATCATCACAAGGGGAGTACACCTCGCTATAGACATCACAAGAGAGAACACCTCGCTATAGACAACACAATGGGAGTACACCTCGCTATAGACATCACAAGAGAGAACACCTCGCTATAGACATCACAAGAGAGAACACCTCGCTATAGACATCACAAGAGAGAACACCTCGCTATAGACATCACAAGAGAGAACACGTCGCTATAGACATCACAAGAGAGAACACCTCGCTATAGACATCACAATGGAGAACACCTCGCTATAGACATCACAAGAGAGAACACCTCGCTATAGACACCACAAGAGAGAACACCTCGCTATAGACATCACAAGAGAGAACACCTCGCTATAGACATCACAGGGATCCTGCCTTCCTATAGACCCAAGATGTTTCAGCATGCATCACCCACAGTCAGTGTTCAACTGTTTCACAGCATATCAGGGCCTAAACGCACCTAAGCCCACCTGTAAGGTTTAAATGAGAATACTAATTATTTACTCTGCTTTGTCATTCCAATGCTGAAAAGAAGGGCTTCCCACACTCTGTCATGAGGATTGTGCCCAGCGGTGATTCAGGTCTCACTCGCCAGTGACGTTCACCTCCATGGTTCTAAGTGATTTCACCCAACTAATTGAAACCGACTAATTTTCTGTCATTTTGATGCCTGTTGAATACATTTAAACGCTCCAAAAATACTTTAGCATGTCCGTTGCATTTGAAAAGCAGACGTTTTTTGTCTTCATATTTGATCGTTAACTCTTCAATAATTATAAAAATAATCCACCGGATCAACGGAATTGTAACACTCGTTAAAGAGTGAGCACAGAATCATGGGCAGATGGGATGCAAGCACAGATTGGCACTGAGAGACAAGAGACGCAACCACGTGGATAAGGTAACACGTGGGAATCAGGGAACACTACATGGGAATCAGGGAGCACGTGGGAATCAGGGAACACTACATGGGAATCAGGGAGCACGTGGGAATCAGGGAACACGTGAGATTCATGGAACACTACATGGTGATCAGGAAACAAATGGGAATCAGGGAACACGTGGGAATCAGAGAACGCATGGGAATCATGGATCACTACATGGCAATCAGAGAACACGTGGAAATCAGGGAACACGTGAAAATCATGAAACACTACATGGGAATCAGAGAACACGTGGAAATCAGGGAACACGTGATAATCAGGGAACACGTGGTAATCAGGGAACACGTGAGAATCATGAAACACTACATGGGAATCAGGGAACACGTGGAAATCAGGGAACACGTGAGAATCAGGGAACGTGTGGGAATCATGGGACATGCGGGAATCAGAGAACACATGGAATCAGGGAATTCACAGGAATCAGCGAACATGTGAGAATCAGGGAACACTACATGGCAATCAGAGAACACGTGGAAATCAGAGAACACGTGGGAATCATGGAACATGTGGGAATCATGGGACATACGGGGAATCATATAACACACGGGAATCAGGGAACACGTGGGAATGAGGGAACACGTGGGGATCAGGGAACACGTGGGAATGAGGGGACACGTGGGAATGAGGGAACACGTGGGGATCAGGGAACACGTGGGGATCAGGGAACACGTGGGAATGAGGGGACACGTGGGAATGAGGGAACACGTGGGAATGAGGGAACACGTGGGGATCAGGGAACACGTGGGAATGAGGGAACACGTGGGAATGAGGGAACACGTGGGAATGACGGAACACGTGGGGATCAGGGAACACGTGGGAATGAGGGGACACGTGGGGATCAGGTAACACGTGGGAATGAGGGAACACGTGAGAATGAGGGGACACGTGGGGATCAGGGAACACGTGGGAATTTAGCCGCACCGCGTTGGCTGCTGAGAAAAGGAACCAGGGTGCTTGGACGGGACAAACCGCAGCGAGGGATGCTACCCAAAGCACGAGGTCTGATTACGGAGTGGCAGCCACAAGACGATTCGCCCGAGACAATGACGACAGCAGAGATGGAGCGATGAGGTCAGTTTCACGTCTCAGAGTATCTGGTTGCTGCTATAAATGTCCACACGGCAAGCGGCCAACTTCGTTGAGCTATCATTTGCGATAGGCCGGGTCGCTTCTGAAAACTGGGGCCTTACCTGGTCAAATAAAATGAAAAAACATTTTCGGTTTCTTGTGCAGCAGGGATGGCGACGATGCAGGGAGTCCTTCATCCAGCAGTGGATAGACATTGACTCATGATGTTGATGATGTGCGCGCGTGTGTACATTGTGTGTGTTAATAATATGTGCAAGGTGAGACACGGAGCGATGAGGGCAGTTCATGTGCAAGCAGCCCCGATAGATTGTGGCATCACGGGATCATGATGGATGGTGACAGTGGAGAGAACATGTCTTGCTGATGGCGATGAGTATATTTTAAGTGATTTAACCTTTACTATACTTTGCACGCCTATCGTGTATTTGTATTTCTTGTTTGTTGCAACGTTCCTACCCCGTGCGCCGACTGGACATCTGTGGGTGGGGAAAAAAGCGCTTTATAGCTCATCGGATTCCTCCCACAGTTTAAATAAATATTCTGATTCTGATGATTCTTGAAGTTACTTTTTTTGCATCTTATTTGCTCAACTTGCCCGCGACTGTTCAACGTCACAACGACAATGACACGACCGCTTTATTCATTTTGGTTTGTTGTCAACCTTTATTCTTCGCAACGAGTTGGACCACACAGCCGTGGTTAGGCAAAGCAGCAGCGCCGACGCTCAGATTCTGCAACAGCAGCGGCTCGCTCAACTCGATTCACCCTCAACCCAAAACTACCCGACAAAAAGTGCTCGCCTCTAAATGAAACACCGATACCTTTTGCTGATCTCAAGTGTCACGGGCGTTAAACTATCATCATCACCACCACCACCACCCAAACTCCGGTCTTCTTTGCGGCTTCGGAGGGATGATTTTGGCTGGACGTCGAAACAACAGACGGTCACCGCATCGCGCGGCGCTTTCAGATGCGCTTTCCCCGGCCGTCTGGAACGCTCTTCCCTCCGATATTATGAAGCCACCGGGAGCTGTTAACTCTTAAATAATCCAGATTGAAAACGCATTCCTTTAAAACTGCTTTTTGGGTGTAGTTTATTGTTCTTCCTCCCCCCCACACCCCCCGACGCACCTCCGATTAGCACGGTTGTCTACGTACGGTGCCAAAGAAGATCAACGTACGTACGAACAAATAACATCGTGAACACCTCTCGCATCTTCCTCGCCTCCTCTTCCTCCTCCTCTTCATCTCTATTCGTCCCGCACGCGCCTCGAGTCAGCATCTCTGGGCTTGAGACTCGGTGACACTTCCCCGTGTGTACGCACGTGCGTGTGCATGTTGAACTTCTTTCGCACCGTACGTATCCAACCGTGCTAAAAGTAACCACCCATATTATGGGCACATTTTGGGAGCCTTTGACTGAACGACCCGGATTGAATTTCGCCTGATCACAGCAGCTGATCGCAGTTGATCCCTTCGGGCAATCAAGAAGCAAGAGGGGCAATTGGGTGTTGGGGGGTTCAAGAAAAGTGCCTCTCGATTCATCTGCCCCGCCTGGAGATCGAAAGCAGAGGGGGCGGGGGGATTTGCTGAACCCGTTATTCCCCACGACAGCTGAACGAGAACGCCGCTGCGCAACTGACGGACGCCAGCACCGCTTCTCCCAGCCAATCCCACCCGGTACGTCTCATTAGCATATACAAGCGCATGGGAGCAGAGGTAGGATAGGGGAGTTGAGTTGGGATGGTGGGGGGGGATGTGGTGAGGGGGGTTGGGGCGGACTGGAGGGGGGGGGGGGTCGCGGAGGAATTTCGCTTTGCAGCAGAGGGTGGCTCCTATCCACAAGAGACGGTGGGGGAATCCTCTCTCTCTCCCCATCTCACGCCGTATCCATTTCTCTCGCGCGCGCTCTCCCCGGACTCGCAACCAACTCGCACAGCGCAGCACGCGACGCTCCCCGACGCGCAACTTTCCACATCCACCAGTTGCAACAAGGTCGACCCGTATCGATACCAGCCACGCGTCTACCTGCCTACCACGGCGACCACAGCCACCACCCCCACCACCACCACCAACAACAACAACAACCACCACCCTCGGCATCCCCCGCGCACACAACACCAGCACACCCAGCGAGTGTCGTCCCTCCTCCACTCCGAGTCCCGCGGGAGACCGAGTCGATCATCGATGATGGCGCCGCACTGGTTCCCGGGCACATGCGCGCTCATCTGCTGCTACATTTTATCCGGGTCCGTCACAACAGCAGCAGCAACAGCAGCAGCAGCACAGCAGCAGCGTAACATCAGCGTCATCGTGCTGCTACCGTTCGACAACAGCTACCTCTTCTCCATGGCGCGCGTGCGACCCGCGCTCGAGTTCGCCATCGAGGCCACGGAACGCGACGGCGCTCGGAGCGCCCTGCGGCCGGGCGGACGCCGCTTCTCGTTGCGCTTCGCCGACTCCACGTGCGGCAACCAGGCGCTCTTCGCCGCCGTCGACCTCCACGGCGAGCGCGCACCGGACCTCATCGTAGGACCCGCGTGCGTTTACGCAGCCGCGCCCGTGGTGCGCCTGGCGAGCCACTGGAACGTGCCCGTGGTCACGGCCGGCGCCCTGGCCGCGGGCTTCGGCGCCAAGCAGGGCGAGTACGCGATGCTCACGCGCGTGGCGCCCTCGTACCAAAAGCTGGGCGTCTTCTTCCTCGACCTGTTGCGCAGCTTCCAGTGGTCGCGCGTGTCCCTCGTGTACCACGACGACCACGAGGAGAGGAGCTGCTACTTCGCCGCCGAGGGTGTCCACCTGGCGCTGTCCGAGTCGGAGAACTTCTCGGTGAAGATCGACGGCTTCAACGAGGTGAAGAAGGAGAGCTACGAGGCCATGGTGGAAGAAATCAGGAGCACCGGCAGAGGTGAGTGAGCGAGATGAGGAGCAGAGAGAGAGAGAGCGAGGGGCAAAGAGAGAGAGAGAGAGGAGCACTGAGAGAGAGGGGCAAAGATTTAAAAGAGGGGGGGGGGGTACATAAAGGAAAGCATTAAAAAACTAAAAAAAACGAAATGAAGAACGAAGCAAAGTGCCGACTACACCGAGCATCTTCTTGTTTCCTCTGATTGAAAAAAAGGAGAGGGGCAAAGAGAGAGGGGGGGGAAAAGATAGAGAGGAGCACAGAGAGAGGGGCAAAGAGAGAGAGGAGCATTCTCAACTGGGCCGCGTACACTTTCGTATGTGTGCATGTTGAACTTCTTTCGCACCGTGCTAGGGAAGGACAACAAACTAATACACAAAAAGCAACGTCGTCGTTTTTTTAAATATTTTTTTCTATCTACGTGACTTTACCGAAAGAACCAAAGAATACACACAAACAGCAGTTCTAAAGAAACGAGTTTTCAACCTACATGATATAAAACTGCAGAGCTCCAGTGGTGGTGCTGTGTGTAACTCTCCGGTGTGTGTTGGTATGATGATGATGGTGTCCGACGTTTCTGCTCCACCCGCCGTGATTCCTCCATGGAGAAGTGGACTTTCTGCTGGAACGGGATTCTCTCTGTCGGTCGATTTAATGGCCTTCCAAGCGCGTGGAACGAAACGTCGGACATACATCATGCCAACCAACACGCGGCACAATCGGAAGACGCATTCAGATGAGGAACAGTTTGCCGTGGTGGTCGGTGGTGGTAGCAAGGGTTGGTGGATCGTGCACAGATTTTAGAGACTCGCGAAGGGCGCTGGACAGCGAGCGAGGCGACCAGGAGATGGCAGTACAGAAAGTGGGTTTCTCATCATCATCATTGTTGTTTTTGTTATTGTTGAGTGGCTTTACTCCGAGTGCCTCGAGTTTTCTCCCATACCCTTAAACGCCGTTGTTCCTTTATAGTTCAAATCAACCAAATATCTCGATGCAGGGACCCTCGTTTAAAACGAGTCTTGAGACTCTGTAAAGGGTTTTGTTTTTCTCCTGGATAATTAAAATGTAATTCCTCTATATATACACACGTGCATGCCACGTGTGTGCCACGTGCGGTCAATACAATTTGCAGAGCAAGATAACAATGGAAGGGCGAGCGTAAGTAACGCTGTGCTCGGCAACACCAATTAGTTAATTCGCGTGCTAATGAATTAATCAATAGGTATTCCAAGGCCTGGCACTGCTGATGCGCCACAATTAGGGGGAAACCAGTTCAGAGTGTGTACTTTTAAACGCATCCTGTTGGCTAAGATCAGCCTGGGAAGGTCACTTAGGACCTCAACTGCGGAGATGTCGGGACGAAATAATCTCGCGTGCAGATGATAGGTGGATCATTAATCACGTCGCAGGATCGCGAGAGATGGTGGAGGCTTGGGGAGGCCTGCATCCAACAGTGTGATTTAATTTTAATACAAATTATATGGTGACGCTGCTGTTGCTGCGTTGGCAGCGGTGCACAATTAACAACAACAAAAAAACAACTCAACAAATTCGTCAACAACACTGTGTGGCCTTCAAAGGACGAGTATATAGTCGTCGACGTTTCGGGCAATGGTCCTTCATCATAGCACAAGGACGTGGTGCAAGACATAAGGAACACCGGCAGAAGTGTGAGGAGCAAAGATTGTAGCAATTATTCTTCGAAAGTAAGCGCTATGAAGAAGGGTCATTTCCTGAAACGTCGTTTAATAAAGATGGGGGTTTTTCCGATTAAGACCACACACAGTGTTGTTGACGAATGTGTCGGGGGCTTTGTTGTTGTTGTTTTACTCTAAACGCTCGCACGCATTTCACTCCAGAGCTGCGTGAAGTTCCCTACCACATCTGAAGTGAACGAAGTCCGCTTCGCGCCGCGAGGCTGAGTTTTTTCATCTCTCTCTTTGTGGAATGTTTTTGCATGTTTCACACGACTTGTGAGACAAGCCTTCAATTTATATTTCCTCTTACCGATTGTCAGGGTAAAAAGTACTGGATTTTAATACATCTATGTATTTTAACTACCGGATCGAGGAGCCAGTTGAGGCGGTTCGGGCACCTGGTAAGGGATAATGCCCCCCCGGTAGACTCCCTCTTGGAAGTCGAGCGGGCAGCAGCAGCGGCGGCGTCCCACGGGGCGAGGACCCCGGGGCCGACCCAGGACGCGCCGCTGGCGGGACGACGTCGCTCGGCTGGCCTGGGGACTCCCCAGGAAGAGCTGGAGACCGAGTATAGTAGTGTAGTGTATAGTGTAGTAGTCTACAGTAATGTATAGTAGTGTAGTAGTGTATAGTGTAGTGTATATTGTAGTGTAGTGTGTAGTGTAATGTGTAGTGTATAGTGTAGTGTATAGTAGTGTATAGTGTAGTAGTCTACAGTAATGTATAGTAGTGTATAGTGTGGTAGTGTATAGTGGTGTATAGTGTATAGTGGTGTAGTGTATATAGTAGTGTAGTGTATAGTAGTGTAGTGTAGTGAGTATAGAGTAGTGTGTAGTGAGTATAGTGTAGTGTATAGTAGTGTATAGGACTATAGGAGTGTATAGTGTAGTGAGATAAGTGTGTAGTGTATAGGACTATAGGAGTGTATAGTGTAGTGTATAGAGTAGTGTACTAAACACTCCACTATACACTCCTATAGTGTAGTGTATAGCAGTATATAGTGGAGTGTTTAGTAGTGGAGTATATTGTAGTGTATAGTAGTGTGTTAATGTATAGAAATGTATAATAGTGCATAGTGTAGTAGTGTACGATGTATAGTAGTGTATAGTAACTATTGTAGTGTGTAGTGTCGTGTATAGTAGTATAATGTATAGTAGTGTGTAGTGGTGTGTAGTAGTACAATGTATAGTAACTATTGTAGTGTATAGTGCAGTATTGTATAGTAGTGCGTAGTAGTAGTATATGGTAATGTAGAGCTAGAATCTGGACCGCCACTACTCAACACGCTGCCGCCGCGAACCTCACCAGGACAAGCGGACTGATACATTAACGAATGTAAACATCCGTTAATTATCTGTATATAATCACCATTACCCACCAAAACACTACTTTGGCAAATTCTCAAAAGGAAACTGAAGCATCCGATAACAATCTCATAACATTTCTTACGCTCCCCCGTATTTCTACAACACGTGTTTTGTTTCTTCAAACACAGGTTAAACATTTGTATCGGTATGTTCAATTGTTGTGGAGAATTAAAACTATAAATTCAATCGTAATTGTAATACTAATAATGTACGAACCTATGCTAATCCACTGCTAGATGAAGACGTCCTAAGACCGTCACGTAAGGACATTTGACGATTCATTAGTCCGGGTTCGTGATGCAAAGGTGCCCAGCCAGAGCCGGCACAGATACATCACTCGCCGCTATTGTTTAGCCGTGGCCGGGACTCCAACTCGGGGGAACGGGTTCAGACCACGGTGCACTAGGCACAGCGCCACCACTCCCCGCGTACCCACCCACCCCTCACAGTACCAGCTGCATTGCCCAGTACGTAGCAGCTGCTTGTAGAATTTGCCGGCGAATTTGGAAGGTGTATCATCCGGTTAAAACCACTCTTGAGATCCGATACGGCTACCGGTTGATGGTTAGGGCCAGTTTGGCTCCTTGTAAGTGGTGGATTTTGCGATATTCTCACGCGAACCGAAGGCGGCGTCCGATCGAACTACTTATTTTGTTGAGTCTGCGTTGGCAATGTGCCGTGATGAAGGGCCACTGCTCGTAACGTCGCCTATTTTTTCATATATATGCTTATTTTATGTACCCCTTTTAATGCCACAGTGTTATTCACGAATGTGTTGACTGATATCGTCTCAATAGCTGCACCGTCACACGTTACATTGCACAAGTGAGCAATGTTTACGCACGTGGATGCACAAAGAAGTCGTCTATATTCGCCACATTATTGCATTTAACTTGTCGTATGTGAATTCATCGCAAAGATGTATCGAACTTTGATAACAAAATGCTGCATGAGGTGGTCACGGGGGTGGTGGGGGGGGGGAGTATTTGACCATACTTCACCATGCTGGTCAGTGCGGGCTGGTGAGGCGAGGCGAGGCAGTGTGTGGGGAGCCAGCTCAGATTTCACTCGCCCCGCCACTGACGTTAGCCGTGGCAAAGAATCGAACTCGAGTATCGGGGGATCGCAACGGAGTGTGCTAACCACTGCCCCATCGCTCCCCCACTGCAACATGTGACTATATATAGCACGAAGGCTTACGCATGCGTTTACATCACAATGCAGTGAAATGTCCAATAATTACGACATTCACTTTATTTTAAAACATCTCTAGAATGTATACTTTATACGTGATAATAACGCATTTCTAATTTACAAATATGTGGAAGCGGTAATATAGGCACCTGACTGGTAGATCCGTTTTTTAGAACAAGAACACGTTTGTAGAAAAAAGTGTTAATTAAGCACTGCATTTGGGCTGGAATGGCCGCACAGCGGTGATCAGGCTGGGCTATTAACCTGGCGACCCGAGTTGGATTCCCGGTCACGACTACCACCATTGATGAGCGATTTCAGAACGGGTTGTGCCAACGTCAGAGCAGATGGTGGAACACTGCGCGAACGGCAAATGTGTGGGTCTCTGTACGAGTCTAAACGTCCCTATATGATTCTATAGATCTCTGTGTCGGTGTATGTGAGAACAGGAAGTGGGATTCTGCGCGAACAGCAGATCTTGGAGGTTTCTGCGTCTCTGCTGCAGAGCGGTGACAGGAACTGCCAGATTATATAATCTGTTGGTGACACGGAGGTGTATAGTCGTGGTGGTGGTGGTGGTTGTGGTCGTTGTGGTAGCATCAGCGATGTCCACGATGGCATCTCCTTGATCTTCGGCGAATTGAAGTGACAGGTGAGAAGCCAGGTGGTGATGGGCAGTTTCCAAAGGATCGTTCGTTGCTTGAGCCTGCGGTGAGATGCGTTGAGAAACGGAAGTTTATGCGGCTCGGACGGAACAAGGGTGGTTCGCGATTGTAAGCAAAAAAGTAAAAAAAAAAATATCAACATGGTTGTGTATTTGCAAAGACGCAGGGCCGATTCGGACATCACTTGCCGCCACTGATGCTGGGCCATCGCCGGGATTCGACGTCAGGCTCCAGGGGTTCATAACGCAGTGGTGCGCTAAGTGAACTGCGCAACCAACCGACTTTCTTGAGCCTCCGTTCAGAGGGTGTATGGGCCTTGTAATTCCCAAGCGTGCGTGTGTGTGTGTAGGTCGACTCAGTCTCAGATTAATGCCTGGTGCGGTGAGTAAAAATCGCCACTGGGGAGACAAAGGGGCGTGGTGCTTGGCCACCCACCCACTCGTGTGCCGTGCCGGCCTTCATCGGTGCTACTCGCTAACGGCACTTGGCCCAACAGTCTGTTAAGGCTATACGGGGGAACCTTTGTCTTTGTCCCGTGTGTGTGCCGTGTGCGTGCAGTGGCCGTGATATGCGCGAGCGCCGACACAGTCCGCAACATCATGCTGGAGGCCCAGCGCAAGGGGATGACGAACGGAGACTTTGTCTTCTTCAACATCGAGCTCTTCAACAGCACCATCTACGGTGAGGGAAATGGAGGGGTGCTGGGGGCTGAAGCGGGGGGGGGGGGGGAGAGCCCAGCCGGCTTGTCTGTCAAGATGACAGCGCCACTCTTTATGCTGTCATCTTGACATTCAGAGCACTTTCGCAACCTATTCCTGCGTGTTATCACCATAATTTGCTCGTATAAATGGTTGTTTACGGCCTTTGGCCAGGAAAGTCACGAAAAAAATTGCACACGGACGACGCATTCACACAAGCACCCGATGCTCCGTTTTGAAGTTTTAAAATGAAACATCTTTGAATTGTATTATTTTGTAAATTAGATCATTGTATTTCTTCATTAAAAGCTTTTCTAATTTTACATCTGGAATACTTCATTGAAAAGGACATTTCGCGTGAATTTTCTCTCGTCGTTAAGTAGACGGCCTTGCCGGGGGGTTCGGTTCGATGCGGACTTTCACCCGTTTGGGGATTGCGGGATCGAGATAAGGCGACATCGAGCTGCTGGCAGTGCGAAAAGATCGCCGTCTGCAGATCGATTCCAACGTGATCGAACGTCTGTCCCTGCTGCCTCCGTCGTTCATGCAGGGGGCGCGTAGCTTTGCAGCGCCCCCTGCAGGATTGCGACGGGAAGTGCAGCGTTCATCACAGAGAGATTAAAGTTGTGCGCTTATATAAGAGAGTGCGCGTGATTTGTTCCGTGTTTTCTCTCGCTGACTTCCATCGGCTGACACCTCTGCTTCTGGCCATGCCCAAGAGAAACTTTTAATCCCTTTATTTGCCAGATGCGTGCGCCAACGCCTGTCGATCGTGGAGCTGTGCAAAGTTTTCTTGGGGGGAGGGGGGTGTGGAGAGATAACGAGGCGCATCGCTCCGTGGTTGTCGCCGCTGCGCTCACCGTAAGCCCACGCCATTCAAAATAAAATTAAAACCACGGCGTCTGTACTCTGCCGACCAAGTAGGCACAATTCTCCGGGCTCCACGGTTGAGGGGGCCGCAAAAAATCCACCTCGGATTGTTTTTTTTTTATCCCGGTCGTTGCCAGGATGCCAGGTTGCGATGCACGCCGAAGCCGGGTTAGATTTATTGCTGTAAAACTTTCCACGTGATTATAAAGCCACTTCGTTGAGCTTCTCATTCGATGACCGCCCAAGGTCGCTTCTGAAAAATAAGCCCATTGCTCAGTGGGCCCTACCTGGTGAGATTTAAAAAAAAAATTGTTTAGTTTTACATATATAGATATTTTTGTTAGGGATTTGATTACCTTGCCTAAACTTTGCACTTCTATCGTGTTTTTTTTGTTGTTTTTGAAATGCTCGTTGTTGCCACGTTGTGACCCCGTGCCCCTACTGGACGTCTGTGAAAAAGAGCTTTATAGCTCATCGGATTCTGATTGTGCTGATGGCAGTGCCTTCTTCGTGAGCTCTTTCCCCATCGCGGAGTTAATGAAAGCTTCCCAGGAGTACTGCTCTTATGTGAGCCCCCGACCCTGCATTATATTTTCACGTTGCTTTGACATTGCAATTAACAATTAATCCACCTGCACCCAATTACCAAAGTCTGGAAAATCAGAAAAAGGGTTTTAGGGCTTTATTGCTTCATAGAATTATAGCCATGAGCCGTGACTGCCCAATAGCAGTGTGTCAGAGTGTGCGTGTGTGTCGGGGGAGTGGTATTATAGCGGTTAGCGCACTGTGTTCCTAACCCAGCGATTCGGGTTCGATTCCCGCTCGAAGCCAACATCGGTTCTGGGGCCTCCCTCAGGTCAATTCAGCTTCAACTGAGTACCTGGGTTCAGTGTGTAAGCATCAGCACTGGGGAGACAAAGGCGGCTGGGCGTGGTGCTGGCCACACACTGCCCTCTTCTGTGCTGTGTTGGCCTTAATAGGTGCTCACGAACAGCACTTTCCCCAAACAAGCCTGTTAAAGGGAAGGCGGTGGGATCTTTTACCTTTGCGTCAAATCTACACAAGTGTGGCTGGGGAGCAGCGGTCAGCGCACCCCGGGGGCAATGGAACCCGGGTTCCATTCCCCCGGGTGTCACGGCTAACATCGCCGTTTCGCGAGCTCTGCCGACGCCATGGGACTACTGGGTAAGAGAAAGAGAGAGAAGGAGAGAGAGAGAGAGAGGCAACGCTGTCCTCGCTGCGTTTCTCAGGCAACGGGAACTGGCTGAGGGACGACGGGCGCAACGACGAAGCGCGGAGGGCGTTCCGCGCCCTCAAGACGGTGACGCTGCTCCGCTCGGTGCGGCCCGAGTTCGAGGAGTTCACCGTCGCGATGAGGCAGCGCTCGTTGGTGCAGCACGGCTTCGATTACGGCAACGATCAGGTGCGGAATCGGCGGCGGCGGCGGCGTCGGCGGCGTCATCATCGCCCGTCCGGTCGCCACCAACAGTGTAGTGCAGTGGTTCTTAACCTTCACTGGCAGCCTTTGCACCCCTTTGTTTCTCAATCGTTAAACATGTTCATTAATTAGACTTGAAACCTTGGTGACTGCAGGAATTCGTGTTCTTCGGTTCGTTCGGTAAAGTCACGTAGATAGAAGAACAATCATTAAATAACGACGTGAATTTTTTTAATAAATAATAAAATATACCACTCATGTAGACTGTAGCCTGGTTCTTAATCGCAGTGAGTGTACTGGCAGTCTATAATGTAGACTTATTCTTGATTCTTTAAATAATAATAATAAAAAAAACATGACGTTTCGATCACAACACCAGGGGATCGTCTTAATGACATTTTTATTATTTTTATTCACTTTATTTTTCATTATGATTTTTCAATCTACGTGACTTTACCGAAAGAACCAAAACATGTTAATTATGTGAATAAATACAAAGTAGTTGTACTTACGTGCCCGTGCTCAATTTGTATTTCGATGATTTGCCCAAGAAAAATGTGGCATATCTCGCACCGCACGTTAACAACCACTTGTGTCGAGATTCTCCGTGGAGATTCTCCACATTCGTGACACGTTTCGATCCACAATAAAATTGCAGCGGGTAATATGCGCTGCTGTTTAAAAAAAAAATAGGTGCTCTCCCATGTTGCTGTTCATTGTCAAGTTCAGTTTTCTAAGAGCACGCTACCCTGGGCGCGCATGCGGTCCAGAGTGATTTTCTATCGAATGACCTGTTAACCCGCAGCGCATCGTAACAGGAGCCCCGCACTCTGATTTGGCTTTGACTGTCCGCCATCTTGAAGAAATCTGACATGCCCAACAAGAGCTTAATGGCTCGTCGTATTTCTCCAGTCTTAAGTTTAAGATTGTGATTCCGAAGAGGTGGCTTCTGCTCAGAGCGCCACGGCGAGCGCCTCAGGCCCATTGCCCTCCTCTTCATTAGAATTGGAATATTTATATTTTACTGGGAGGAATCCGATCAGCTATGAAGCTCTTTTTTCACATATGTCCAGTAGGAGCGGGTAAAAACGTTACAACAGCAAACAGTACAAAGACGCGATCGGAGTGCAAAGTACAAGAAAGGTCAACAAATCACCAAAACACTTACAAATACAACACTAAACCATCCCCATCCTTACAGGCAGAGCCCACTGAGGTGCCGTGTTTTCCCGGTCGTGTCGTCCAGAAAAAAAACATCTTCATTCGTTTTCGCGAACTCGTTGTTTGTGACTTTTGTTCTGCTACTTTTTTTTTATCATGAGCCCAACTTTGCAGTCTTGTGTTTATTAAGCTCTGCGATAATTTCCTGTCATTAAATTTCCATCGGTCGTTATGGTGGCTCTTATCGGCAAATCTGATGTGGTTCGTGACTTCTCCACTTAGGTTCATGCCTCTGTTTTTTTTTATATCCCCGATCGGATTGTTACCAAACGTCTTCTAACTAACCTTGCCGTGCGTAACTCTGGCGAGAGCGCGGCACCCTTGCCCGAGTGGCATCTGAAATGTATTTGGATCACTCTCTGCAACACCAAAACAATCTCAGCGTAACAGTTCCACCCTTACAAAAAGCTTTTTTATCATTTCTAAATTTTATTTAGTCGTTGGTCTGCTCACGGCTTGGACGAATGCATTCATTTCCACTGAATCGAATGTGTTTTCATACCTTACAAAAAGCTGCCCATAATGGTGCATGATATTTCATGGGTGTCTTTCTTTCCAAGAATTCGGCGTATCCTCACGGTCGTTTGGGCTCTGCAATTTTTTTTTATTCTGTTCGCAGCGATTGTTTCGTTTGGGGGGGGGGGGGGTGTACCAATATCTCTTTGTACGCTACATACTGTAGCCCGATGAGTCTCTCATGGTCGTACTCGCCTCCTTTTGCGAACGCGAGAACGATCGCGGCCTCGTTCCACGCTTGCGTCGTACCCGCTTTTCCGTGCAAGCGTTTTGGCGAATGGCACCGCCGAGTTCGCTCCGGCGAACCCTGTCCCCGCTTCTTGGAACGACGCCAGTGGTAATTCCGCTTAGTTTTTCCCGAATCGTTCCCTTCTTTCAGACCAATGAGGGGTGTGGTGTTTACTCCTTCGAGGGGGTGACGTCTGATGCTTCCTCTTCATCATCTGAACAACAACAAAAAAACAGTGGGATTCCTGGGTTGCAATAAAAAAGAAATGACTACAGAGATCTGCATAATTTGTGTTTCGTCTCTAACCTGCTCTCGATCTACTTGTCGCCCTAAGGGCGACTATCCCCATTTCTGCTATCGTGCTCTGCCAATTTTTGCGACGATATATTCCGCCGTTTTTTGTTTTGCGATTTTTTTTATCTGTCAGCTCGCTTGCTTTCTTTTCACATTCTTTACCCAAATAATTATCTTTGACAGCACTTGCCCAAACTATGTTAAAGGTTAATACAGTACACAGGGGATCTTTGTCTTTGTGAGGCTCTGCGGGGAGAGGTTTGTGCCCTGGCTGGCACACTGCAATACAGACCCGGCGACCCAAGTGGCTGATATTTAAGGGAATCTCGTGGCCTTGTGTGTTTTAAGTTCCCGTGCGTGAGCGTCCCCGCATGTCTGCGTGTACATGCGTGTGTGGTGCTCGCTAACAGCACTTGCCCCAACAGTCTGTTAGGGCTATACGGGGGCTCTTTATCTTGTGCGTCGTAGTTGAAGCGGTACTGGTAGTGGCTAGCGCACTGCGATAGGAACCCAGCGAACAGAGCTCGCATCCCGCTCACGGCTAACACCGGTGACGATTACCTGAACTGGTCCCTAGGCCTCGCCTAGGTGGCCGGGCGTGGTGCTGGCCACCCACCCCCATGCATACCGTGCCAGCCTTCATTATAGTCTGTCAAGGCTACATGGTGGGGGGGGGGGGGGGATGTTTGTCTTTGTTTTGTGCCTGTGTCATCGTGTGCGCTCGCGCATGGGCAGGTGAACATGTTCGTCGAAGGCTTCCACGACGCCATGGTCCTCTACTCCCTGGCCCTGCACGACGCGTTGAGCGGCGCGGGCAACCAGCAGGCGGAACCACCCTCGGGTCTCGAGGTCACGCGCCTCATGTGGAACCGCACTTTCCAAGGTCGTTATACATTATTATTATTTTTTTTTTGGGGGGGGGGGAGGGGGGGGGTGTTTACTTTTTTTTTATTGCTCGTTGCCGTCCCGGGGCGGCGACGCGGCCCGGCGGTTTCGCTCGTTCGCCCGCTCCTCGCGCATCCGGCGGGCCGCCCCGGTCAATGCCGCGCTCGGGTCGTGGACACCGCTCGCCGCCTGCTTCGCAAACGGACATTAAAGATCCCGCGACGTCGTTTGCTGCATGGATCATCCGATTCCTCCAGTCTAAGTAAAGATTCTGATTCGGTGGCGAGACAGCGAGCGGCCGCAGAGTAGGGCTGCACCTTTGACCTTTTTTGACCTTTTAAAACCACGTGCTACTGCAGACGGATACCCGGCTGCGTGTACGCATGCACGTTGAACTTCTTTCGCACCGTACGAAGCCAACCGCGCTAATCGAAGGTGCCGGGGGAGGGGGGGGGGGAAGGACAACTAACGGCTGTGACGTGTAGTGCCTTCGCGACGGTCTTGCCCTTGATATGAACGTCGCGAATGCATAAATGTGCGGTAACTCACGGTGGATTCGATTCGATTGCTGCAGGCATCGCCGGGCCCGTGTCTATAGATGACAACGGGGACAGGGAAGGTGACTTCTCTGTGCTGGGCATGACGGATGGAGACACTGGAAAGCAAGAGGTATTTAAAACTATTAAACTATATATATTTTTTATCTGACCAGGTAAGGCCCACTGAGCTATTAGCTTCCTTTTCAGAAGCGGCTTAATCGTGCGGAAATGTACAGCAGCCAAATTACTTCCAAACGCGTGATTGTTGATTCTAAATGTGATTTGGGGAAAACCGGAGGACCCGGACAAAAATCCACGCGACCACGGGGGAGAACACGCGAATTACAAATAGAGAGGCATCAGGATCTGAATGGAACCCATGACCCCCTGCGTACCAGGCGAGGGAGATAACATCTCGCCACCACGGCGCTTCTTATCTGGCTGCCGAGCGATACTAATTCAGGTCGCCACGATATAATTGTTTTCTATGCCATCGTTTTGTTGTACTTCCAGTGTAGTGCGTACAGTACAAACACAGACGACTGTAAAAGTGCTTCGGCCGAAGTTCGCTCGACCATATGCCTGCGACGTGCCATCTCATCGGCATGACATCACAAAACCCCGAACCCTTACAATGTGCACGCCGCCAAATTGTCTCCGGGATGGAAGAAAAAAAATCCCAAAACCCATTTCAGACGCTTCACTTTATATTTTAGGCAACGGCCATTTACATTTTGAAAGCTTTTATTAGGCTAAATTTTGATTTGAAGCTTTCGTGACTGCAGGGATTCATATTCTTGGTTCTTTCGGTAAAGTCACCACGTAAGAAGGGAAACAATATTTTTTATTATTTTATTTTTTATCATTATATTTTCATTCTTTTTATTGTTTCCCTTCTACGTGACTTTACCGAAAGAACCAATAATGTACAACGGCCATTTATTTAACGACTCGCACAATCGTGTTTGGTTTTTTTTTTGGAATAAACTCACAGGAAAGGAATAAACCGCAGTGACGACGAATCGCGATGCGGTCATTCAACGAAAAAACGCAGACGACACGATTGTCACTCCGCGGACGGTGCGGCGAAGAGGGTGCTTATCGATGGGTCACCGCCCACGTTGTGGTGACCCTGCCGCCGATTCCACTCCCGCCCGCACGCCCGGTGCCGCCCGCAACGGCGGGCGCTAACGCGGCTGCCACATTTGCGAGTTAATTGGTGGCATTACGGCGGCAGCCTTCAAGTGCCGGGGACAGCTGAAAGCCCAATTATTGCGTTTTATTAAGTGCCACGCCGCGGAAGGCGATGCGCTGTGACATCATTTGTGCGATATCAACGGCGGAGCTGCGTGGGTGGGGGGGGGCTGGGGAAGGATCGTGGTCCACTCCCCACCCTCTCAATGCTATGCCCCGCCCCCCTTAATGCTGTGCCCCCCCCCCCTAACGCTGTGCTCCACCCACCCTTAAAGCTATGCCCCGCCCCTCTTAATGCTGCGCCCTCCCCTTCAACGCTATGCCCCGCCCCCTATCCCCCCCCTAACGCTATGCCCCACCCACCCTTAAAGATATGCCCCGCCCCTCTTAACGCTGTGCCCCCCCCTCCCTTGCCCCCTGACGCAGCATGGTCCGTGCTCTGTACCAGTGGTGGCTCCACGCTCTCTCGTGGCCCCGCCCTACCGAGCGTGAACAGCTCCAGCAATGGGGAGGGGGGGGGGGTCGTGGAGGGGTAGGGGGCCGGGGGGGGTATATAAACGTTCGTCTCTTTCCCAGTACACTATATTGTTATGGTAATGATAATAATTATAATAATTCATCGACCAGGATTTGACTGCTTCAACGGGGGGCTACCGCAAAACGTCGGCCCGCAAGACCCACAGTGTTAATCACCCTTAAAACGTGGCCACGCGCGTTGCCCTCGCATCAATCCACTGCTTGGATGAGGCCCCCCCCCCCACTCTGCTCCCCCCTCGCCGTGCGGGGTTGTTCGAGCATTCTTCAACCACGCCGCCGCGTACAAGCGACGGTGACGACCGTGGAATCGGCCGCCGCTTCCTTGCCACGTCTGCTGCCGACAGAAACCTCGCGGCGTTGGGTGGTCGCGCAGGATCCGAGCGCAGCGTGCACGCTCCTCCAACCAGGGCTGAACGATTAATCGATTTCAAATCGAAGTCGCCATTTGAAACAATGCGGTTAGCAAATCGGAAAAGCTGCGATTTTTTTTATTTTGTATTTTTTTATTATTCTAACTTTATTTATTTAACTTAACAATTGTTCTATGTTTGATTGTTATATTTCAATAAAAAAAAAATTTTATAAATACATTTTGGAAGAACATTTTAAGTTCTCATCCTTGCATTAGAATATATAGAGCAGTTCATATTTTGATGGTATCACGTGGTAATGCTCCATCACATTTTTTTAAATATATTACACTGAATATTGAACTGAAGCTTGACCTTAAAAAGTTTAATCGCAAATCAAATCGCAATCGCAATATCTGATAGACAAATGGCAATTAGATATTTTCCCAAAATCTTTAAGCCCTACTACCTCCAACGCCTGTGCTTGGCTTTCGAGGAATGTGGCGACATTCGCGAGGTGGGGCTCCGGGAACAAGTTCGCGAGACTCGGTGACCCTCGAAGCTTTAAACGCGCTTTTGGGATTATTTTGATAGTTTTGCTGCGATAAAATGGTCCAAATGATGGGCCACTTCGTTGAGCTGTCATTTGTGGTGGCCAGGTCGCTTCTTAACAGTAAGTTGATACCTCAGTGGGTTTTTTCCTTGTATAGGATGGGGATGGTTTAGTTGTATTTGTTTCTCATACTTTGCACTACTGTCATGTTATTGTATTCTTTGTTGTTGTAACGTTCTCACCCCGCGCCCCGACTGGACATCGGTGAAAAGAGCTTCGTAGCTCATCGGATTCCTCCCATTGTAAATACATATTCTGATTCTGATTAAGGTAAGCGAATCTTAAGATAGTAGTGAGAATAATAATAATAAAAGTGAGACGAAATTACACGACGGATAGACATCGCGTCCAGCAAACAAACTGAAGCCCTGGGCAGGTGAGGGGCAATGCAATTAAAGTTTGGCCCGTTGCGATAGTGATTCTCGACCAGGGGGGCGACGCAGACCCCCCCCCCCCCCCCGGGAGTACACGTGGCAACGTCCCAGGGGGGACGTGAGGTGACTTATAAATGCGTGAAACGATAGCATGCGCGAGAGTCATTTGGTGAATAGTCGTGTATGAATCTGCCGATATGAAATAAATACGATAAGAATTTGGAATCTACGTGGTAACCCTGTAAGGATGTAGAAGACCTTTCTAAACTCCATTGCTCGTAAAAAAATATATATATATGTGGTTTCTAAGAGTCACAGCGAGCGCGAACACATTACAGCGTGCATTGCGGAGCGTCCGTTGAATTCGTGTTCATTCGCTTGCAGTTACTCGCTGGTTAGGATACCTCACAACATGGACCATTGGTTAAAGTATTGATGTCCATTATTCGAACATTTATTTCTCAGAACTACATTGGGTCAGGCGCAATGGGGGGGGGGGGGGGTGGGCGGGTGTACTCGGTTGAAACCAAATTCAACACAGGTCGGTACACAGTATCCCCCCAAAAAAAAAGCTTTAGAGTAACCACTGCATTACAACAACACTCCTCCAGCGAGGCCGACAATGTTGACAAAGCGTTTGCGATGATTAATCTCAACGTCGCCGTAGCTGTGCGGGCGAAACGGGCGATGAGCCGCGTGGCAACGCACCGCCGCAAACACTCCCCCGGGGGAAGCCACCGGGCCCCAACGCTGCTCGGCTTCTGAAATCAACTCGACTATAAACTAAACAATGTTTTTTTTTACTTTACCAGGCAAGGCTCCGCTGAGCTATGTAGCTCCCTTTTTTTCAGAAGCGACCTGGCCACGTGTGATAGCTCAGTGACGTGACTCATGACCACGTGGTCCGTTGTGGGCTTTGTGAATTGGAGAATAGCAGCAGCCAAATACTCTGAATGCACGTCGATTCTAAATGTGTGAGGGGGGGGACAAAACGGGAGTAACCGGATAAAAATCCACACGACCACGGGGAGACAGACACGCAAACTTCAAATAAACAGCAGGCGTCCGGATCGCGATCGAACCCGCGACCTCCTGCACGCCAAGCGAGGTAGCTAACATCTCCCCACCGAGCGGTTTGGTTGTCAGCGCTGGGCACCTCTTACAGGGATCAAACCGCCCAGCGGGTGACGAGCGTCTCGCGCGCCGCTCGATCCATCGATCCCACCTCCTCGTCTCGCTGAGCTCCCGTCGGCACGAATCATCGTCACACCCCCGGCCCCCCGCCTTGCCAAGAACTCGGAGCCCTTGTAACCCTTGCCTTCCAGGTCATCACCAACTACTACGGAGCCCGCCGGGCGTTCGAAAACACGGCCGCGATGGAGCTGTCCTGGCCCGGGGGTTCTCCTCCGCCCAACACCCCGCTATGTGCGTTGCGCAACCGTGAGAATCGCCACTCTCCGCTCGCCACCGCAGCATCATTCCTCGATGACGTCTGTCAAACACTTGGGCGTCTGTGAGAAGGGAGCTTTGCAGTTCATCGGATTCTGTATAAGGAGCGCCGCGCACGCATCTACCGCCAGTTCCTAGTGCGGTTTCGAAACGCATATAAACTGAACCGTCGGTCCTTGTGTTTTGTCTGTGTCTGTGTTGCCCAGGTCTCTTGCCTGTTTGTCCACCTGTCTGTCTGCCTGTCCATCCATCTGTCTCTGTCTGTCCATTTGTTTATCCGTCTACCCGTCCATTTTTCCATCTGTCCACCTCTCAGGCTGTCTGTCCATTATTCTGTGTGTGTCCACCCATCAGTCTTGCCTGTCTGCTTGTTAAATTAAAGGCCGATTTATTGTTTTAATTCCCCCCCCATCCCCCATCACCTCCCATCCGCTGTCGTCAAATGCTTTCCAGACGTCGTCAGGAGCTCGGCCGTGTCCGGAGTCGTGATCGGAGGCTTCGTGCTGTGCGCCGCGGTTCTCATCGCAGCCTACGTTGTCAGGTGAGACGCCCGGTCACGCTTCCTGTGCAGGGGCCACGCGTTCACCCCGGCGGACGGATTTTTAGGAGATCCCGGGTTGCATCGGTGTCACCGATCACGCGCCCGCGAGCTCGATTTTTTTGCACGGAGCCTTAAAAAAAAAAACTTCCGGTGACGTCGGCGACTGGTGAACGCAAACCGGAATGTTGCTGTGGATGAGTCTTCGCTCGGAGAATCTTAGTCACTGGGAAGATTCCACACGTGTGTGCATGCGTATGTTGAACGTCTTTCGCGCCGTATGTAGTCAACCGCGCTGATGATGATGATGATTATTTATTGATGTAGGAAAGCCACGCTGAGTCCAATAACTATTTTTAAGGCGGTTCCTGCTACATTGGGTGTTTATCTGCAGAAGTTTCAGCCAGACTTGAAACCTAATTATGAATACATATACTCTTTGGTTCTATTCGGTAAAGTCACGTAGGTAAAAATAAAATAGCAAAAATTACGACGTTTTGGCCACAACACAAGTGGCCTTCATCAGGTGAAGGGACCGGACTGTCCAAAGGACAGCGTTGGAGTGCTGTCCTCTGGACAGTCCGGTCCCTTCACCTTATGGAGGCCACTTGTGTTGTGGCCGAAACGTCGTGATTTTCGTTATTTATTTTTACTTATGTGACTTTACCGAATAGAACCAAAGAGTATGGATCCTTGCAGTCACTAAAGCTTCAAATCTAGAATATGAATACATATTTTTAATATTCTCTGGATCTTTCGGTAAAGTCACGTAGAGAGAGAAAAATGAAAGTAAATAAAAAATATAGTATAATATTATTTTTTATTTATTATATTTTGTTTGCTTAAATTTTTTTATGTCTACGTGACTTTACCGAAATATCCAAAGAAATTCGAATTCCTGCAGTCACGAAAGTTTTAAGTCAAAATTTTACGAATATTCAGATTCTGATTGAGTTATTTTTTCCCCTTAGCATCGCCGCCACAGCATCGTCGCCCGCCCGCACGTATGTGTGCATGTGTGTGTGTCTGCGTGTGTGTGTGCGTGTGTGTGTCTGTGTGTGCGTGTGTGGGGAGCGGTAGTGTAGCGGTTAGCGCGCTGTGCTACGAACCGGGTTCGATTCCCGCTCACGGCCAACACCAGTGACGATTATCTGAACCGGTCCTGGGTCTCCCCTTGGTCGACTCGGCCTCAAATGAGTACCTGGTGCGGTGTGCAAACATCACCACTGGGGAGACAAAGGCTGTCGGGGGTGGTGTTGGCCACCCACCCCCTTGTGTGCCGTGCCGACCTTCGTAGGTGCTACTCGCTAACAGCACTTGCCCCTACAGTCTGTCAAGGCTATACGGAGGATCTTTGTGTTTTGTGCGCGTGTGTGCGTGCGCTGTGTGGGGGTAGGCGGAGGTATACGGTGGTGGTGATGAGGCGCTCTCGGCTGCACGGGGAGGACCTGGAGAAGCACAGCCGTCTGCGGGAAGATTCCGTCCGCTCGCATTTCTCCGAGGCGTGAGGTCTCGGGATATGAAAAACCGCCCCTCCCCAAAAAACAAGAGAAGAGGTTTATTATTTAGGGCCCGAGAGCGTTTGTGCCTGCATGAAATATCGGCGTGCGTCTTCCCTTCTCTGTGTGAAAACAACATCAAAACGAGGGAGTTTAATTCGCATGGTGAAGGCGCAGCCCCCTTGCGATCGCTTTGCTCACACGGCTGTGGCCTTCCGTTCGGAGAGCCCCTCGAGATCCCACTTTTGTGTAGGGCGCTAAACACCGAGGTCTGTTGTGGGCTTTGTAAAATGGAGAATTTTAAAAAGAAATGGTATTCTAACATCGGCAGCTTTTTTTTTTGAGATGTAAATGCGACGTGCAGTTCTTTAAAAAAAAAAAAAACATTTTAAGTGAAAGAGATTATCTTTAACTACGAGTTGTTTAATCGCTAAATTGAAAGGGCATTATGAAATTAAGTGTTTTTTTTTATTACACCCCAACGGTATTCCTGCCGAGTTATCGGGCATCGTGTACGCTCGGCGAAAATTCCTTCTGGAAACCGGGCAGAGCAGCGTGCCTCCCCCCCCCTCCCCCCCATCGTGTCTTACAATGTCACAGAACACTTCAAAGAGGGGGGCGTCCTTTTCATCTTTAAGCAAAAAAAAAAAATGGGTGCACTCTTTCCTCACACTCTACTATGAGATTGGCCCTTGTTGTCTGTGCCATGGCAGTCGAACCTGGCATTAATTCTCATAAATGGGAAAATTAAGTGCAAAACCCAACATAATACTTGAGCATTCTTCTGCATTAATTGGTAAACCAGGCAGAAAACATCAATTTGTTACACTTGAAATCCTGGTTTTAGTCACGGATGTCGGAAACCCAAATTTCACCTCAACTAAAACTAAACTATTTTTTTATTTTACCATGTAAGGCCCACTGAGCTATACAGCTATTTTTCATAAGCGACCTTGCCGCAAGTGATAGCTCATTGAAGTGCATTATTACGTGGAAATGTATAGCAGTAACCTAATACTCCACATGCATGTTTTTCAAATGTGGAGAGAAAAACCTGAGGACCCGGGGGAAAAAAAACCACAGGGCGAAAGAGAGAGAGACACAAACTTCAAATATACAGCAGGCGTCAGGTTCGGGATCGAACCCACGACCTCCTGTATACCAGGCGAGGTAGTTAACATCTCCTAGCCACCGTGATGATGATGATGAGAGAGAGACGCAAACTCCAAATATACAGCAGGCGTCAGGGTCGGGATCGAACCCACGACCTCCTGTATACCAGGCGAGGTAGTTAACATCTCCTAGCCACCGTGCTGATGATGATGAGAGAGACGCAAACTCCAAATATACAGCAGGCATTAGGTTCGGGATCGAACCCACGACCTCCTGTATACCAGGCGAGGTAGTTAACATCTTGCCACCATGGTGCCAGTATATCAGTGCTCTGACCTCCGAGCCATCCGGCCACCTCGTGTAATCGCTACTGATTGACAGGGCATTCTTTTGGCAGGAAAACAATGAGAGGAGGCTTTTGAGACATCAAATTCCGTTTGAGTGCCGCAAATTAAACCTTTAAATGACGTGGAATGTCAAAACTCGTGGCTAGACAACAACAACATGACGATGAATTAAATGCAAAATGTAAACATAATTATTGGGATTTCTTTCCAGGGGATGTCTCGATCAGAACACGGTGCATTGTACAGCGACTTCGGTGCACGCCCTCGCGTGGCATGCTCATCAACAGTTCTGAAACACGCCCGTTCCCAACTTTTGAATAACTTTTCGAAGGTTCGCCTCCAAACGTCTTCAAGGCGGTCATTCTGAAGGCTGGCAAACGAGCACCCGCATCTCCCCGCACACTTGGAGAGATCCCCACCCGCCTTGGCCAGCGCCCGCATCTCCCCGCACACTTGGAGAGATCCCCATCAATCTTGGCCAGCGCCTGCATCTCCCCGCACACTTGGAGAGATCCCCATCCATCTTGGCCAGCGCCCGCATCTCCCCGCACACTTGGAGAGATCCCCACCCGCCTTGGCCAGCGCCCGCATCTCCCCGCACACTTGGAGAGATCCCCACCCGCCTTGGCCAGCGCCCGCATCTCCCCGCACACTTGGAGAGATCCCCACCCGCCTTGGCCAGCGCCCGCATCTCCCCGCACACTTGGAGAGATCCCCATCAATCTTGGCCAGCGCCTGCATCTCCCCGCACACTTGGAGAGATCCCCACCCGCCTTGGCCAGCGCCCGCATCTCCCCGCACACTTGGAGAGATCCCCACCCGCCTTGGCCAGCGCCCGCATCTCCCCGCACACTTGGAGAGATCCCCATCAATCTTGGCCAGCGCCTGCATCTCCCCGCACACTTGGAGAGATCCCCATCCATCTTGGCCAGCGCCCGCATCTCCCCGCACACTTGGAGAGATCCCCATCCATCTTGGCCAGCGCCCGCATCTCCCCGCACACTTGGAGAGATCCCCATCCATCTTGGCCAGCGCCCGCATCTCCTCGCCGATCGAGTGGCAGTACGCGTTGTCCTGACAACGCCACGCGTTGTCCTGACAACGCGTGGCGTTGGATTATTATTATTATTTGTGCATTAGAAGGGAAAAAAACATTAGTTTTAATTACATGCAGGATCATTCATTGGCATTTCCGCAGGATGATTAAACGGGGGGGGGGGGGGGGGGGGGTGCTCTTCTGTGGCAGCAGGCAACTGGTGCCATTTTCCAGGGGATAATTGTCCTGGAAGTCCATGGGGGGGCCAGATAATGCTGTGAGGCGTTCAGCACATCCCATCACTGCTCCAGGGGGGCAGGTGATTAAACAGGGAAATTGACAAAGGCAAAGGTCCCCAGTATAGCCTACTACTACTGCATAGGCTGTTGGGGCAAGTGTCGTTAGCTAGCACTGTGATCCCTGGAACGGTGGCTCTGAAACGGATTGTCGGGTACCAGCCAGGGTGGCAATTGCTATCAATTATTTTCTTGAAATATGTCACCTCTAGATCACAATAATGTATGTTAGCAAGGTCATTACAGTAGTTTTTTGAGGATCAACATTTGTTTTTTACATATATAAACGTGTACCTTAGTGCGCATGACAGAGAATATCATTTTGTGGGGAAAACCACTCTCGCTTGCGATGTGAAACGTCTAGCATAAATATCCTATGGGTCTTCCGGTAATGCCACGTAGATAGAAAAATAAAAATGTCACGGGGTTTTATTATTTTTCTATCTACGTGGCTTTACCGAAAGACCCATATAATACGTAGTCCGTCCACGGTAGACACTTGTTCGGTGGAGGGACACCGATCGAATTTTGCCACCCCAGGTGGTACCGACCACAACCCTCCTAGGCTCGCTGGCCACGACGAAACAAAGGGGGCACGCGCCGCTCCGGGCCATTGGTCGTCTCGTGGCGGCAACAAAACAAATAGGGGGGGGGGACACTTCAACGCGGGCAAGAGTAACAAATGAAATGCAGGCGAGAAGGGTCTTTGAAGAGAACATTAGTTTCCTATGAATTTTGTTGTTGTTGCGAATTCCAGCACAGAATCACAGCGGCCTGGGGGGGGGGGGGGGGGGGGGGGGGGGGTGGGGCGTGACATTAAATTGTGGAATCTCCCGAGGAGTGTTTGGTGTTTGACTGCCGTTCGCCTCATGCCGGTGGGGGCAGGGGGAGGGAGGAAAACGAGAGAGAGAGAAAAAAAATCGAACTTGTTAAATACAAACTCATCCGACAAGGTGCAGTGGCTGGGCTAGCGGGTGCTCAATCAGTGTCTGGTTTAGTGGGGGGGGGGGGGGGGGGGGGGGTGGTGTTGACTCAGCCCATCATCCCTCTGGTGGTGGGGGGGGGGGTCGATAAAATAATTACCACTTTGTGCGGAAGTCAAAAGTGGTCGCCCAACGGAGGAGTCCTCGTCCCTGCCCACAGGGCTGTGACATCTCCACATCAGGGCCTCGGCGCTGTGATGCAGCAGACGAGAACAGCATCGCTGCTCATTTCCTTTGGTCGATACCAAGACAAAAAAAAATATCCCCCTCCCCCCACCCCCCACTGGTTTATAGCCTTTAGCAGAACGTTGGGGCAAGTACTGTTAGCGAGCACCCAGTGAAGGTCAATACTATAACATTGTCACACCCATGCTCGCTTGCTCGCTCGGGCGAGCATGCATGTGCCAAGGCAAACGGAGAGCCGCGCACGGCACATTGCAGTTGTGTGTTTGTCGTTGTCGTTGCTCGTGGGCCGTTGACTCTTTGTACATAGAACCCCTTTGTAAGTAGGAGCAGTCCGTGGGTGGTATTTTACTGTGGGTTATTTAACATGACATAATATATATTTTGAACGCGTGGTTGTTGATAAGTGATCCGAAGTAGCGCAGTATTTCTGTGAGCAGCCTCTTGGGTAATTGTGCGTTCGGTTACACGATCTGAAATGCTGGTTTTGACCGTGCGAGCCACGGATGGATTCTTGGGGCCTGGGTGAGGGATTCGAGGGCCTCGGCGTAGGGCTTCTAGGACCCGGGTGGAGGGATTCTAGGGCTCGGGTGGAGGGATCGAAGGGCCCAGGCCCGAGAGATTAAAGTACCAGCGTCTTGCCAAGGGTCAATGATTGCGCTCGCTCCACTTCACCTCTCACATTTGGTGCATTTGCGCGCTAGCCTCTGGAAGAAAAAAAATTCCAAGATAAGATTTACTTAACTTGTTGCGAAGAAACGCAGAAAAAAATCCAAGAGTTTTTTTTTTTTTGCTAAGTGCGTGGGGGGTTTTTCGCGATTTTTCCATACGGCTCGGCATGATGCGGTCTCTGGGTTGACAGTGCACGGAGTGTTGTTCGCCACGTTGTCCAACGTTTCGCTACGAGTGTTTGCGAGTTTTCTTCATTTCACGAAATTAAATAGGAGCTGGAGCTCCCCCGGCCGCACGTGGAGTCAAACGTTGGACATCGTGCCAAACAACACGCGATACAACCTGAAAAACATCGCATTACCATGTATTTTTTTTGGTATGTATGTTGAACTTCTCTCGCACCGTACGTAGCCAACCGTGCCCATCGGAGGTGCGGTGAAAGGACGACAAACTAAACACAAAAGCAGATGTAAAGAAATTAGTTTTCAATCTACACGATTTAAAAGTACACAGGTTCACTGGCTTCCTAATACCGGAAGGGAAGAGCGTTCCAGACGGACGCAGCA